TCTTCATTATTTGTGAGGGCCTCCTCCAACCTTTCTTTGGCGGTGTTGCAGGCTTCTTGGACATCGCCCACCTTCTTCCGCTCACCCGCCAGCTCAAACTCTAGTGATACCGCCTTGTGGCGCACCACTTCCAGTTTAAACTTGGCGACTGACAGCTCGGAGGTGACCCCAGCCTAGCTTACCCTGGCGCACTCAGCCAAGTACCCCTGTACCACTGCCAAAACTTCCATCTTTTTCGCCCTCTGAGCATAGTCCAGACCCTTCGCGTAGGCGCTACACGCTACCTTTCTCCAGCCAGCTGTCTCCGCCCTTAAGTTCTGTAATTGCGCCCACACTCCTTCCAATTGGGCCTTCAGCGGCTCTGCCTCCATTTTCACCCCCACTGCCTTGCCTAATAGGGTCGTCGCCAGGGTCACTGCTTCCATCTGCACTGAGCAGAACCCTCTCATGAGATCGACCTCTATTAATTGGGCCATACTCTACATAGCTGCGTCCTCAATGACCCCCAATAGACGGTTTGCGGCGACCCTGGCTTCGCCTCCATCATCCACCAAGCAGCCAACCACCATGCGAACGTGATGTATGATGGTCTTCAATGCAGCGTTGGTCTCTATTCCACTTGCCCGCTCTCTCCCTAGCTCCTGACTTAGGGGCACATCTTGTAAGGGCACGTCTTTGGAGGGCAAATTGGCTGACTGGTCGGTTTCTGCCAACCTCTTTTGCTCGCTTGATTCGTTCACCACTTGGTCACTTGGGAACTTGGCCAACCCTTCCTCTGCCCCCATACCAGCCCTGGTCTCCCCCTCCTGACTTGGGGACAACTCCACTACCCTCTCTTTTGCCTTCTTCCCTACCAGTCCTCCCTCACCCCCTTTTGCAGCCACCTTCCTTTTCTTTTTCTTTAACATCGCATCCACATCCCTCTTGCTTCTTTTCCTTCAGCGGATCGAATGGTGCCCGCAAAGTCACAAACTCGGTCCGGTCTTTCTCTCCCAATGGCTTCGGGTGTGGTCTGACCGACCTCTTCGCAACCAGCTTCAGCACTGGACCTAATTCTTTCTCCTTATATTTATCTGCCCTTGCAAAAGCTCGCTTGTCCTCCTCCTCCTAAGCTTTCCTCCTCACCTCCATCTCCTCAGGCGTCAGATCTCCTTTAGCTGGTTGCGGCCCCAGATTCAGGTTGACCAAGGTTGAGGGTTGGACGAGGTCGTCCCACTTTAGCCACTCATTCTCCCTTCAACCCTTCACCTATTTAACCCTCTTCTCCGCCTCGGCATCTAACTTCGGTTCCCAAGACATGGTGGCGACTTTCCAAATTGTACGTGCTCCTCTTCTGCCGCTCGTCGACACAAAAACCACTTTGGCCGCCATCCCTTCACCGACAAAGGCAACTCGCCACCAATTCCCTTCCTACTACGGCTTGTAAGGTCACCCATGTCTCCTGTTGCCCTGACACCTTGTAGCGGGAGAAAAACTTATCCACCGTTATCATCTCCCCTCCAGTCACCCACGATCCCGTGATTGCACAAGCGAACAGAATCTTCCACGTGTTCGGCATAAGCTGTCTTGGGGCCACCTCCAGACAGTTTAACACGTCCACCACTAGCTATGGGAAGGGTAACCTTAGGCCCCCGCGCACAGCCTCTTCATACAATGCGAACTCCATCGGTCGTGCGTGCAACGCCCTCTCTTTCTTCGTTAGCAGCCTCAACTCTGCTGCGGAACTCCTCAAAATCCTCTACCGTCAGAGTGGATTTGTCCACCTTTGTATGCCAGTGGTCTAGTGCCACTTGGCTAATCGACTGCACCGCCAAGATCATTGTCGACCCCAGGGGCCACACCAGCCGCTCCGCCTCCCTCTCCACCCGTCTTTCCACCTTATGCTGCTCTGCTAGCTCCACCTCATCATCCTCTCCTAATGCATCCACTCCTATGGCTGGCGTTTTGTATTGTGCCATCTCCATCACGTTTCTAACTATTGCTTCGGTTGTGAGGGTAAGAAAATTTGCGATATGCCAGACGGGAAAATCTCTTGCGATGAAGGAACTTAAGTCTAGAATGTGCTGGTTTTTTGCAATCAAGTAAGCAAAACGCATAAGTCCAAAAGCTCAAGGTTTACCTATTTCCCAAACATCGCGGTTAAAATTCGCTAGTTTGAAAATTTGAACAAAAATACGACCCCTGTCTTTTTAATATCCCATCTTACAAACCCCCTCAATTATTCGTCTCCCTTATCAACGGCCCTTGTTGTGTCATGTGTACGGCCACAATCCCTTCCTCGCCCCAGTAATTCTCTTTCCTCTTCCCCATCTATTCCACTTCACATCAGCACATGCTTTCCCCCCTCGAGCCCCGCGCATCGTTAATCTTTTCTCAATCCCCTACGTGGTCTGCCCACCTCATGGTTGATCACCCCGCTCGGTTGGTCACCTCGGTCGACCATCTTCGTGGTCGGCCTTCCTTACGGTTGGTCATCCCACTCTACCACCTTTGCGGTCGGCCCTCCTCCTGGTCGGCCATCTCGCTCAGCCACCTTCGCAGTCGACCCTCCTTCGGGTCGACCATCCAACTTGGCCACCTTCGCAGTCGGCCCTCTCTATTGTCGGTCACCCTCGCCGCTTGGTCACTCCTCCACCCCCTACCCTTACCCGCTCTCCAATCTTGGGAGACTCCCTCCACCTTTGCTATTCCCTTTGTTGGACTAAAGCTACACTCGGGAATGGGAGACTACTGATATCGTTGGGCACCAGAAGGGCCAAACCCACAGATTAGGGCCCAGTTCGCATCCCAGCGATCAAAGCCCAAGGGCCTAGTGCATATCCCAGCGATCAAAGCCCAATAACTCTGAGAAATCAACGCTAGGCCAGAACTAATAGCATTCAAACACTTGCCAAATAGAGGCCTAGACACGTAAGCAAATAAAGATATTGCAAAGTTATTGCACCACACATCAGCCATTAATGAAGCTCTCATAGCATTAATATGACAACCCCTTCACGTCGGAGGAGACAGACTCACCATGAACGATGCGAGTTAGAATATAGACTTTCTGCCAACACGACAGTCGGGAATGGACAAGAAAATGATGAGTAGAGGATATAAGGAAGTTTCCGAGATACGTTAAAGGTTAAGTTCTTCATCTCCCTCTTCTGGCTCAATACAATCAATCTACTCTATCCTAATTTGATTGTCAGAGTGTCTGCCGGGGGATTGCCTCCCCTATTGGACCTTTTTTGCAGGAACGTTCCATGGACTTCAAGGCTAGCAGACCTGTTAGAAGCGTGGACCAGCCCGACCCATCCCTTGTTGTAATTAGTATTATGTCATTATTACTGACTCTATCTATTATACAAATTACATATACCTAAAACTTCTAAAATTATGTTATATCATCTGTTAGTATACTAGTTAGTATACTATAACATTATTCTTAATTTAAACAAAATGTTAACTATTCATTTGGGAATTGTAAATTTTAACTTGAAAGTCAAAAATATATTAAAGAGGTCAAAAACTAATAAACTATAAAAAATAAAAAATAAAAAAGTCAAAATTTAATTTTCTCTCTACTTTTTGTATTTTTTTTTCATAAAAAGTTAAAAATTATTCCAAATATATTAATTTTTTGGATAAATTACACTAATACCCTCTAAAGTTTCTGTTTAATATAGATCCCCCTCATACTTATCCCTTGTCAGATTAAAATGACATATTTTGTTAATATCATTTCAAATGAAATAACAATCATCTTATTTGCTTTAGCTCACACAAAAATTTGAATTTTTCTTTTATTTTTCATGTTTTTTTTACCCATTTTTTATTTTTATTTTTTAGATATACTTAAGAAATAATATTTTGTGTTTTTTTTTTTTAAATTCTCCAAACACAAAAAAAAAAAAGATACAAAAATTCAATACATTATTTTATTTTGTTGTATTCAATATTTTTTTTAATTTTTTGTATCAATTTTATACTTTTTAATTATATCTGAATTAAATTGATCTAATTTAGATATAATGGTGGAAATAAAAATAAAAAATTATATCAAAATTTATACATAAAATGTCATAAAAATGTTATGATAGTGATACTGTTATAAATATAAATTATGTTTATGGGTATTTTGTTTTAAAGTGAAAGGTCATCATTAAACTATATCATTGTGTTTGAAAATTCTATATAAAATTTATATTTGTATATCATCACTCAATAAGAATATGTTCGGGTAGAATGTAATGATGGAAAATTATAAATTGTAATCATGATGATAGAAATAAGAAATGGTAGGAAAAAGGAAAAAATAGTCATTAGAAAATTTTAAGGCATGACATCAGCAGCAATTCATGGGACAATTTGTAATGAAATTACAAATCTCAGAGAGGAGAATGTAATTTTTCAAATATGAAGAGGGGATTTATATTAAATAGAAATCTAAGAGAGTGTTAGTGTAATTTACGCTAATTTTTTTTCAAAAATGCTTAAGACTTCAAAAGTTTTACCAAAAATATCTTATATGAATGCGAAACCCATACCATCTAAGTCCCATGTGAGTTCTACATCCATGTAAAACATTTGATAAAAAAATTTGATAAAAATTTTAAAATTTCTAACATTACTTTTTTTTTTTTACCTCATATTTTAACTAAAAAATCTAAAAATTACTAAAATAGTGGGTTGTCAGATAAGTTACACTGGCCAGGACGAATCACCAAGGATACTCTAGAGTGAAATTTCTCTAAAGTTTCCTAGAGTGCTACATTGTGTAGTTGAGATTTACTGGCAAGTCACATCAGAAAATTGATGTGACTTGCCAGTAAATCTCAACCACACAATGTAGCACTCTAGGAAACTTTAGGAAAAAATCACTGTAGAGGATCCTTGCTTAGGAGGAATCACTACAAGAAAAGCTGGCTATAACAACGTTTCTTAGACATCGTTTCTTGGACAAACGTTGTGAAAGACGCGTTAAACACACGCGTTAGATTAAAATACACCCGTTAAACACGCGTTTCACTTTATAACAGTGCTCCGTCTCCCCATTTCTCTTTCCGTCTCTATCATTCTCTCTCTATCGTTTGCTCTCTCCGTCCTAGATCTAGGGTTTTCTCCGTCTCTCTCATGCTTCTTGAGAGATTCACCAGTTCGATTACGATTACTTGGTCAGATTTAATTCTAAATCCATCGATTTTGGAATCGATTTGGTTGAAATTTCCAGACGATATTTTGTTGTTCTTGATTCTGATTCTGATGATTTTGCAGAGAAAGATGGACCGGTTGAGTTGCAGGAACGCGAGGTTACGAGACTGAGGAGTGAAAAAGGATAGAGATCATGGATCGGGATCGAGACAGGGATCGAGACCGAGACCGGTCGAGTCGAAGCAAGAGGAGGAGACGAGATCATGAATACTGGGTTTCTGGTAATCCTCCTAAGGTCTGGTCCTCCCGTCGCTACCGCCCCTCAGGTCTCATCCTCTCTCTCTCTCTCTCTCTCTCCCCCTCTATTGCTCCATCAGATCTAGTCTCAAACACATGACTCACTATCTTCCTCGCTCTTCCTACTGGATTTCGAAATTTCTTATTCAATAACATATGTTTCAGATATGAGATTTCTCATTCAAAAATATGTTTTGAGATTTGAAATTTCTTATTCAAAAACATATGTTTCAGATCTAAAATTTCTCATTCAAAAATATATGTTTAAGGTTTGAAATTTGTCATTCAAAAATATTTGTTTGAGATTTGAATTTTTTCATTCGAAACAATATCCTTGATTTTTTTTTCCTTTAAATGGTTTGATAATGCTTCCCTTAGGAACTTGTCGTGGTCAGTTTTGGTTTCATTTTCTTCTTGGTATGGCAAATTCTATAACTTTTTCACTGAAATATTTGGTATCTGTGTGCATTGCAGGTTTGCACAAGCTCTCTCTATTGAACATGGAAGGTTGCCCTGTTACTGCGGTATGCTTGGACTCTCTTGCAGGTTCAATTTTACCTTTTCTTCTCCTCTGAGCCATCGCCATTGTAGTTATGTTACTGGATATTGTGATAAATATTGCATTTTGAGAGAAGGGTATGTGCTATGAAACAATAAATATTTCATGAGTATTATTTGTTTTATGGTCTAAACTTAAGAAAATATCTTGACAAAGGTAACTCAAAGATATGATTTTGGATTTGTAGGAGACTAGCAGTTTATTGCAAATCCAGGATTTCCATTTGAAAATTTAAACATTTTGTGGATCAAAGCACAATAAAAATATTTGGAAGTGTAATGCATTGGATTATTGAGAAAATGAAAAAAAATTACTTTCTCAGTAATGTTTTCTATTTGGAAGCTGACTTTTGATTTTCAAAGGAGTTGATTGTTAATTTTTTTGATTTTCTGCTTAAATGTTTTTGACTTAACGTGGTAAATGCTGGTGATGAATGAAGGATTTCTTGTGATATACTATGATTAATAATAGTATAAGTTATTCATGTTTGGTATTAATCTGATTGCCATTTGTTCTATACATGCAGCTATTCCTGCCCTGCTATATTTGAACCTAAGTAGATGTAATTTGTCTGACGATGGGTGTGAAAAGTTTTCAGGTAGGTTATATATAAACTTTACTTTGTATCCCTCCTGATTTAAGAATAATGGACTGTCTTTTAAATTGGGATACATACTCCACTTTCTAATAGCACCAGGAAAACATTGAAACAATCTTCACAGCAAAAAGTAACCTTTTTCATGTCATGTTTTCTGCAGGGCTACGGAATAAAGTACTAAGCTTGGGATTCAATGATATCTCAGATGCTTGTTTGGTACACATGAGAGGTGGTTTTTCCTTCTTATATTTATGCAAGTTCAACAACAATATAAAAAATTAGGGCAAAAATTATAGAGTTTCTCACTTTTGACGGAGATACCCAAGAGGGATAATAGATGGGTCTTGTGCAACAACTCACAGCTGTATTTAGGGAATGGGTATTCCTCTAGCCGTTGAATATACAATATGTAGAATTTTCCCTCCTTGCTTCTCAAAATCCATTCTTGTGGGTTTGCCTTCCGATGTGATTATTTTTGGCAGGTATATAAACATCATGACAAATGCACTTTATTTAGCAAAATTGTAGATTTATTGTGTTTGGTTTATTTAAATTTTCCTTATTTTGTGGAAATTAATCTGTATTCTGAAACATGAGTTCTCTATTATGTAATACCAGAGCCCTTCAGAGTTTATATGGATAAAATAGAGACATGTCATTTTAGAATTGTGGAAATTGAAAAATCAATTGGTGACACTATGATCAACAACACTGATGCAGAAAGCAGACTTACACTGGCAGATGCTTTGGTATATGCCTGTAACCAAGGTGTAGAGCAGGTATATAAACATCATGACAAATGCACTTTATTTAGAAAAATTGTAGATTTATTGTGTTTGGTTTATTTAAATTTTCCTTATTTTGTGGAAATTAATCTGTATTCTGAAACATGAGTTCTCGGTTATGTAATACCAGAGCCCTTCAGAGTTTATATGGATAAATAATTACAAGTGCGGGCAACGAACTTTGACAATAAGCTATACTAACAACTATTGCAATAACCCAAACAAAAACTAGTCTCACATCCTCAGTCACTCTAATTGCATTAATGAGAACGACCGTAACCAACCATTCATGTCTAATATTCGTTAGGATAATAATATAATATTATCTTAACGCTCTTAATCAAGAAGAACATTAACTCATTGGTATTGGTGGTCTTCTTTTGTTTTTCTATCTTGTATCTTTGATTGGGGACTGTTTGGCTTTTGGTTGGTTTTCTTTAGTCTTGTTTGCTTGATTGGTTCCTCACCAATCATTTCAGTTTAGTGGTGGCATATGATTGCACTTGCTTTTTGATGTTGACATAGTTGGGATTGTTAAATTTTATTGTGATTGCACTTGTATTTTGATCTTCATTAATAAAAATTCTTCTTTTGTTGATAAAAAACAATGACATTGACAGTAGCTTCCACTCTTTCTGTCTTTCCTCTAGATAAACACCTCATTGTCTGAGCTTGGACACAAGTTTCAGAGATAAGAGTAAGTAAAGGTAATGCTTCTCTCTCTCTCTCTCTCTCTCTCTCTCTGAAAGTTCTTAAAGGGCTGTGGGGTGGGAGGACCTGTTTTATTCTGTTCTGTTTTATAATTTCATTTTTGTTTATTATTTGTATACTTTCTTTTTGGATTAATTTAAGTTATTCTTCGAATATACATTTAATTGATCACATCCTTAATTTGTTTAGGTCTTGGAGAATCAATTCAAGAACGGCTATGGAAAACTATTGCTTTGGTAAGGTGCTCTCCCACACAGACATTACGTACACATTGGAGATACCGAACTGGGCAGCTGATTTGCCTGAATACAATGATGCCGTCATGCCAGTGTGGGATCAAGGTGGAAGATATTGGGAGCTTCGTATGACAATAAGGGCAGATCAAAGAAAGGCCTTGAAATCAAAAGAATGGCTTGATTTAGCAAAGGCTAATGAACTGGAGGTTGGTGAAACAATGAGCTTTTTTTATACACCTGCGCTCAATTCATACTCTGTGAAATTTGAAGGTCCTAACCGCGTCAAGGTTCTGCAGCTATTTCCTCCTAACTAATTAAGAGAAGGATTGAAGGAGGGACCTGCAACAACAACAACATGTTTTTATTAAGAATTAAGTTTATGTAACAATAAAAGCATCTCCCAGCTCCTGGCTTGTCTTCTCCTAGGAGGGTACAAGTAACTTGTGGGAACAAGATGCATGTGTGCTTTTTTTTCTTTTCTTTTTGGTTTAAATCTAGGTGCGTGGAAGCATCGATGTCAGTTGTTGTTGATGAGTCCAATAACCTATTACTAATGAGAAATGTTAGGGATTATGAAATTTTTTTCATGAAAGATTTGTGATCTTTAGATTACCTTGATTAGTGTGTGGTGATTTATTCTAAGTGTAATCCAAAGGTCACAAAACTTTTATGATCATTTTCATGAAAGACTTTTCATGATACCTAGTATTACTGATTACTAATACTAAATTATAAAACAATGAACCTTCTTATGTATGATTTCTCCTATCATAAGAACATCAGGAGAGTAATCCCTTTTGCACTTCTTTGGTCAAGTTGGAAACACATGAATGAATTTGCGTTTTTAAGAACACTCAACCAAATATAATGGCTTTGTGCGAACTTGAGAAAGTTAGAATCGCTTTGTGGGTAAAGTTCAATTCACCAGGGTTTTTTGGTTCACTCGATGACCTCATTTCTAATTTGTGGCAGATAACAATCTGTTATAAGCTTGCCCTATTCATAAATTATTGTTACTAGTTTTTCAAAAGATTAAAAAGAAAGTGTGGAGTTTGGGTGTGATGAGTGGGGTAGGATTGGCACTTGTTTGTCAAAAATTAAGTTAGATATCACGTTCTAATTGTGACCCATATGCACCTTCTCTTTTGTTTTTTTATTATTATTATTATTATTATTATTATTATTATTATTATTATATTTTTTCTTGATTTAAAAAAAAAAATATCGAACATCTATCTAGTATCATTTATGTTATTTTTCTTAAGTTAACATTTTATTAATAATTTAAATTTCTAAATGAACATGAGATTAAAAAAGCATTTTTTAATTTACTCAATTATATGTTAAGTGCTTTGTCAACTTGATCCCATACACGCATTGTAGGTGCATGTCATTTTAGGTGCATTTTGGCTCTAATTAGCATCCCTTAATTTTGACTCTAGAAAATTTAATCACAAAATCATACACAACTCTTTCTTATGTGTGAGAGTTGTTTTTCTGGGATTGGAATGGTCTCCATTATATGATTGTAATGGATAATTTTCAATACATAATTCGTAATAAATCAATATTTATTTTGCTAGTTTGAAGAATTGATCTCTGATATATGCCCCATTTTGAAAGGGCAAAAATTAGATTGTATTGTTTTCTTGAATTGATATCTACTGAGGCATGTATGTTCTCTCCAGATGAAGAAATTTTAGCTAGAAGGCAACTTCCTCCTGAATGCCAGCCTGAACTTCATACAGATTATGATGGTCCTTCACTCTTATGAGTAAATATATTTATGTGATGAACGTGAAGTTTTTTTGAATGTGGGTGTTTGCAGGTGGTGGAGGTGAAGAGTTTTAAACCTATTTTTTGCTAGCTTTATTATTGGCAATAATTATAATTTGCTAACTTTTTATTTATTATTTTTAGGTTAGCTTCTCTATTTTTTTGACTGATTCCAGTGTTTTTTTGTAGCAGCATTGGCCAGCTGTTCCTTGAAATAAGCATTGGCCCATGAATGAGTTTTCTAATATTTTAATGGTTTTATTAACATTTTTTTGGGGTATGGTTTGTGGTTAAATATAAACAGCTAGGAAATGTTACAATGTTCTTGTGTTTCTCAAATGTAAAATTGTAGTCATTTGGAAGAGGAATTAAACTTGTTTGGTTATTTTTGTTTATGCGCTTCTATATAAGAATCCTTAACTTTCAGATTTGATCTTATTTAGCTAATAGTGCAATTTGACAATTAAATCCGTATTTTGCTAATTTTTTTTGTTTTTTTTTTCTTTTTGAGAAGCATTATTTTCATAAATGAAAGTTACTTATATTGTTTTTTCCCCCATAATTAGTAGTGGAATTTTTTTTTAAATAATAAGGAGAAAAGATGGCGTTTTTGAAAAACGTCACTAAATGTCGTCATATGACGTCAGCGTTTAACCGTGACGGATTTCACGTTACGGATGTATAAGCATTTAGGACGTTTTAAAAAGCGCCGGCTAAAGTCATTAGTGACGTTTAATAAACGTCATAAACTAAAGACGGCGGCCGTATCTGCGACGAAAGTTATAAACGCCACTTTATCCTTTAACGGCGTTTTTATGGCTTATAGTGGCGTTTTTTAAACGTCGCTAATGGCCAAAATTCCTGCAGTGAATAGCTGAAAAATGTACGTAGCACTGGCTAGATATTTTATATTAGTCCACCAAGTCATCAACCGAGGTGTTTGCAACAGCAAGCATAAACCAAAAAGTCAATCTGTGAGCCAGGGAGTGTAAACCAACCACCACAAAATCAAGCTAGCAAGCAAACATATTTGAGGCATGAACAAGCGATTTTAAAATGAAGCACAAACTAATACATTGAGCAAAGCAAAGCTACAAACGACTTCAATGCATCTCCTTTCTGTTTTCAAACTTCACCACAAAGGATATAATATAAATAACTTTTTTATTTTATTATTTGTTAGCTTTCCTGTTTGATTAGGAAACAATTTGGGTAAATTCATTTGATTCTTGTAATCTAGTTTAGTTGTTTTGTAGTTTAGTAAAATTCAATTTACCGAAAAAGAAAAAAATCAAAAATTATAATACTAAAGATAAAACTAAACAAATTGTAACTTCTTGTGATTTATTGTTTTTATTTCTATAGCAAAACAGAATGAAAAGGCATCATACAAGACAATGTTTGCTCATGGATAGACGCGGCTTACAAATGGCCTCCAAGGGCTTCGACTTTGGCATGGTGATGCCAGGACTTTCAGTCATATCCACCTGCTCTTCGTTAACTGTCTTCCATTCAAATGACTGAATCAAGGCTCCTAGTGCTAGCCCAACCATCCTCTTGGCTAGGCTAGCCCCGGGACAACCACGTCTTCCACTGCCAAATGGAATCAGCCTATACCCATCTCCAGCACTCTCCGCTTGAAACCTCTCTGGCATGAATTTTGTTGGATTTTCCCATAGCTTGGGGTCTCTATGAATGGCCAATGCATTTACCATTAACGTCGTGCCTTGTGGGACATCATAACCCCCCACTGTACAATCCTCAGATGCTTCATGTGGCAATAGAAGTGGGACGGGTGCATATAATCGAAGTGCTTCATTCACTACATTTGATAGGTAATCTAGCTTGGGTAAATCTTGTTCATCTATGAGGCGATCCTGTCCAACGTGAGCATCAATCTCTTCTTTAACTTTTGTCATTGCATCTGGATGGTTGAGGAGTAGTGACATTGCCCATTCCAAAGTAGTTGATGAAGTATCACTCCCAGCAATTAGCAATACCTATCCACACCAGACACCTAGTTAAGAGGTATAAACCAACACACACACACGCGCGCGCACACACACACACACACGCAAGAAGAAGAAGAAGAAGAAGATGAAAATAGCAATGGAAAATTACCCAATTTTTTTATTACTACACACAAAGGCAAGCGTACCACTTGTTTATTTATGTGAACCTCACTACTACCTTTTATGTTTAGTGTAAAGAAAATATTGTGGAAAATCCTTTTGTGTTTTGACATTTCTCAACCACAACCATAAAAAACCGTAAACCTATTTTTTGTAGATTATTGCAAAATGAAAGTCAGATAATTAAAAAGTATAAGCTAAAGTATTCTTATCCTCCAGTTTTTCAATAATCGATTCTGTTAAAAATTAAGTTGTTTTTACCTCATAAATTATGAAGTATAAACTACACCAAACACTCTTAACATAGATTTTCAATCTATGTATGTGTTATAAGCAGCATCTATAAATTACATCAAACAAGGTCAAAGAACTTGTGTTGCAAAAATGACTCACCCTCTCCCAAAAAGAAAACTGTGTTGAAAAGGGTAGACCTTCAAATTTCTTAACAAAAGCATGATAAACATAAGAAATTCATAATCATAAGGTTGTGATGGGAAGAAAAAAAAAAAAACTGGTAGGGATAGAAAATTAATGTTGTGTTTGGTCGGAAGATTTGGAGAGAGATTTGAAATATGAAAAGGAAAAGATGTGTGAAATTATGTGAAATGTAGGTATATCTTATTAACATTCCACCTTTCTTTTTTGTTTCTATTTCCAAATCATTTCCCGAATTCCCAACTAAACACAGCATAAGTGAAAGAAGTTATTTTATTTTATTCAGGTAAGGAAATGAAAAATTAAATATATAGATAAACATTGATGTTGTAGTGATCTGATCTTACCATTATCATCCCATTTATAATGCTGTTGGTATAGAACTCAGGTTCTGTTTCTTGCAAAGACAGCAAATTGTGGATTAGTGTCTTCACTTTTGTTGATGCACTGGTTTTTTTATGCTCATCAACTAGTTTCTGCAAAAACTTGTCCATCCTCTCTGCCGTGGCTTTCATTTTCTTCGCTGTCCCAAACAAATCCACCCACTGCAAAACCGGAAAAAGGTCTGCTGGATTTGATTTCTTGACAAGTTCAAAATGCTCTCTTATCAATTTCTGAAAGAGCTTGGCCTCCCCAACATCGTCCACGCCTTCTCCATAGAACCTCTTCCCCATGATCATCATGGTCATAACATTATATGAGAGCTCAAAAAACTTGGAATTCAAGTTCACCTTACTATACTCACCACCACCACAATTATTCATGAGTTGATTCACAAAGAACTTCACTTCCTTACCTCGTATACTAGTTGTCCTCTCTAGGCGAGTAGTTGACAAAATCTCCA